ATTTATAGTATTACAACTAAAACCGTTTTTGACGCCGCCACCGCAGTTTGTCCTTCATGAGCCTTCGTAGACAAGATGGCGGTGCAAGATGGCGGCTGCTTGTAATGGCAACCCACGACCATGGAGATATAAGCAGCTTTTTATAAGGTAAAATAATAAAACAAGGTCTTTGTCTGCAATGATTAGACATGTTTTTATTATTTTCATTAGTGATTATCTCAGTTTCAGCTAAAAGAATTGACAAAATCCTACACACTGTGCCTTTAAACGTATACTGATAAGACTTTTACCTGAAATGTAAACTGTAAGACAGTGAATGGATTATTGATATCAGGGCACATATGAGTACCAGCAAAAATGCTGGTATTGGTACCAATACTGGTTATCCTAACCCAAGATCAGGACACAGTTACTCTTAAGCAAAACCAGATCACTTACAGTCAGACACTGAGTCGTTGATGAAGACAGTGGCCTTTTCAGGTTCTCCCAGGATACCATTGACCGGCATTTGCAGGACTAGCTCAAATGCCTCAATCCCCTCCAGTTCTGGCTGTCCCATGTCATCCAGAATGGTAACCTTAACCGTCTGCATGCTGACACCTGGGGCGAAGTCCAAGTTCTGACTGATGCCCACATAGTCTACGCCAACTAGAGAAACACACAAGACACAGAAATGGAGACAATCACCAGGAAAACAATTCATTTGAAGCAATGGTTGGCAGATTCTTGAACCTACCTTCAGCAGAGGCACGCTCTGCCTTACGAGAACAGACCGTGACAGTCCCAGCCTTGGACAGATCAGTTCCCGTCCTCCATACTTTGATCTCTACATACCCATCGCTCTCATCTACGTGATAAGCAACCTCCGCAAAGTAAAACACTGGAGCTGCAGAGCAATAATGAAAAAGTGGGGTGGGGTGGAGGGTAGCAGGAATCAAAAATCATGTTATTAGTTCAATATTGATGTGGAATATCCTTGTTATTCACCTCCATGAGTGTATTTGCACATACATTTGTACCGAATTGACGTCTTGCTTAAGTTTCAAATCCCACTGGTGTGAATATTAATGTTCGTGCGTAAAGTAATGGATCTTTTAAAGTGGATTCTGTAGAATGCTATGAACAATCAGTATCTTACCTGCTGTAGATAAACTAAAGTGAAATGTTGCCGTTGTGAAACAGCTATATGTTTCACATTACAGAGGTGAAAAGATTTGAGATTAGAGCTGTTCTTGGCCCTGTTTGGATTGTATGTTAGCTCATCTATCTAGGTAGAAGAAAGTGCGTTTCCTAAAGTGAAGTTGTTAAAAAATCTACACTACGATAAACAAACAAACAAACAAACAAATAAATAAATAAATAAATGTAGTGCATTTATTTTGAAAAATGTCATGTTTCCACTCAATTGAAATGAGTGAAGGTAGCACATTTACTTTACATTTACTTTAAGTAAATATAAATTGTAATGTAAATTCAATGTGCTACATTAACTCATAATCTTTTTAATCCAATACAATTTTTTGAGTATATTTACATCATATTTAGGTTTTAATTGTTTGCAACATTGCCATAGAACCTCCATTAAAAGCAATAAATTAACCCTTTACGCAGAGGTGTATAGTAACTTAGTACATTGACTTTGTTACAGTACTTAAGTAATTTTTTTGAGGATTTGTAATTTTACCAAGTACTTTTTTAAATCGTGACTTTTACTTTTACTTTGTTACTTTTAAAACCAAAAATAATACTTATACTTCTTTATTAAAGTTTAAAATCTAGTTACTTGTTATAAATTAAATCTGTCTGAACTCATCATGAAATAAGTTATGTGCTCTAAAAACATTAAGTGTTGAATTTACTCAACTAAATCATATCAGCTATTTCCAGTAAACCTAGTAGAGTAAATCTGAGGCGAAATACATATTTTATTTTGAAGAAATTAACCAATTTAATCAACTTGGTTTTGTGGAGCCAGTTTAGTTCTGTAAATTTAACAGTTTATTTGTTAGAGAGCGTGGAAAAGTACTTTCACTTTTACTTCTACTTTCCCAATTTTTGTGAACAGTTTTATGACGTTTACTTAAGTAGTTTTCTCATCAGTGACATTTATTTTTACCAAAGTCATTTTTTAGCTTATTTTTACTTTTATTTAGTTATTTTTTCAAGTACTTCATAGACCTCTGCCTTTAAGGCAGGACTATTCAACTGGCCGAATATCAACTATTGAATATAGTTGAACAGCCCTGCTTTAAGCTGCTTTGGTATTTTCTTTTTTAATGTTGCTACTTTCTTTAACACAGACCTGTCAGCAGACACCTGAAGTCTGGCATGAGTCATTTGTAAAGCTGGAGGTCAGACAGGTGGGTCAAACAGCCACAGGCCATTAGTCTGACGTCCAGCGGTAGAAAGGCCTGACCTCCCCATCTTCCCCAGCCGCTCACTCAACTTCACTGAAATTTGTCTTTTGTCCTTTAACACAGAAATTGCTCTGCTGCTCTGCTTGCTTTTACTCATTAAAACAAAAACGAAACAAACATGGAAAGCAGAATGTTGCCTCAGCATGTGTTTTCAGGAATATTCAGGCACTCACATTGCTTGTGTCTGATTTTATTTAATTTTATTTTAACTTTTTTCTTTTTTTTTTTTCAAAAACATCATGCCAAAAGCAATACCTCAGTTTCATTTTCAAAGGTTAAAAGCTGTCAAATCTTTGTCTCTGCATAAAAAAGCTGCAAAATAAAGATTTTGTTGAACTTTCTAAATGCTGTCAAGTTTTTTTTTCATGAAAACCTTCCCAATCCTGACTAATTTTAGAAGGTGGCACTAAATCAATACTGAAATAGTGTTAAAAATGTGTTAAAGTTTCAACAACAATGGACCCGCATTATGTTTCTGCTCCTTTTGCAAAAAGACTGGGAGGCATAATGAGGGTGCAACAATCCCTCAGGGAGCCGGCTGTGTTTCTTTCTCTGTCTGAAGAATTAAGTCGATGTAACAAATAAGAATGCAGTTAGCTCGGAAAACAAAGTCTGTCTGCGTGTGTGTCTTTATCTTTTTGAATGCCGAGTCGTGAGATGGTGAGGCAGAGAAAGCGGCCCCCCAGACAGCTCAAAGGCCTGTTTGAACAGGGATTGTTTCCTAAGGCAGTAAAGTGGAGGCAGTCCAGGGTGTATTAGACAGCTTCATCCCTCACAAGTCATTCTGTCAAGTAAAAAATTWAAAAAATAGGAAAACTCAACAATAAAAGTTTTTCTTTGTTTAAACCTTCCAATCACTTTCTTATATTTTGGCATATATTCGAAAAATAGCAAGTGCATTGTCATATCTGGTCTTCAGATTAAAAACACTACAGTCCACATTTTATGCATTGCATGAATTTTAATTTGCTTTTCGGTTTTATTTATAAACCTTAACTGGGCCAGGTAACAAAAAAGCTATGCGATGTAGCAAACAAAAGGACGGAGGAAAAAAATCTCTGCTCCATCTTGACTCTCGGCTTGATGGGAGAAGTGACAGCTCGGGGCAACCATATCCAGCGAGTATCAAACATCAAGCGCAGCCTGTGCCCTTTTGCGCTTCTTTTTTTTACCTCTTCCTCCCACACATACACAACAGATGTAGCGCCGGTTTGAAACTCAGACAGAATTTGAGCGTAAAGTGGAGTTAAAAGGGAAAAAATGTGAACAGCGTAGGTGGGGAAAAACACACATGAATAATGACATTTGACCAAACGTTGTGGTAAACAGGACTGAGGCTTGCGTGTTTTCCATTTGCTACTTTTTTAGTTGGTTGGGAGGCTAATGCAGAAATGATGTATCTTGCTCTTAAACATAAACAACTGGGCTCACGTTTTCCTCTCCCTGCTCAGAGAGGATCCTCTGTAAATAAAAGAACTTCATGTCTGCATTCGCGCACGTCTCAGCTGAATTTACCGGAGGAGAGGCAGCTGAGCGACGAGAGATGAATGCATCCTCTCCCCTCACTGGGGCCACGCCTCTGCCTTTGCACGCCGCTTGTGCGACTGAATTCTGGGGAAAGGTGCAAAAACAAATTTGTGATAATTACTACTATGTGGGTGTCTGTAACAGCTCGTGTCACCGCGCCTTTAAATACAGTTTATAAAGCATTCTCAGCTGTTCTTTGAAGCAGTGCCACCGCTCTTGGAAGGAAAGATTTTACAAATTTGAAAAAGGTGGGAATTCAAAGGTTGACTCTTTATGGTATAACTCGCTTCGCAATATTGGTTGGGGTTGAAATTCACACCTATATGAAGGAAGGTGAAATGATGGGAAAAGGTGGGAAACGCATCATATTTGCAACATTCAACACAGGCAGATGCCCGCCACTGAAGGTGATAATGCTTTGGCGGTGTCTACATGCAATTGTGATTTCAGGATCCTCAGGCCACGGTTGATTTAATAATTAAATACAAAAAAAAAAWAATAATAATGCAAATGCAGTTACTGACAGCAAAGTTACGTCTACTGTGAAGAAAATCAACCCAATATAAAGAGACAATTTTTTTTCACCCAGGTCCAAACTTCTTTTATTTGAGGTGAGTTTGTGGTCTGATGAATGAGACTTTAAGCTCATTCTGGAACTGATGGAATCCACTTCCTTTGGGCCAAAAAGAAAAGAGATGATCCCATTTATTATCAAAGCTCAGTTCAAAGCCAGGCTCTATTATGGTTTGAAGCTGCATTAATCCCCATGAAATCAGAATCGTGCATCACTGTGGGGGCATCATAAGGCTACAGTAGAGTAAACTTTTAATGACCTTATACTGTATGACAATAGTCATTCTGGAACAACGATTGGTTAATTAGTTGAAACCCATTTCTTGTTCAGAGCTACAGCAGTTAATTTTCTTATTTTTTTCTGCCACCAGTTTCTTATGCAATGTTGGAAAATAAGTTATGGTTTTTGACATTTATTCTATTATTTTTAACCAAACAAAATTAAGATAAGAAAATGTAAGATAATCCTTTATAT